GCCCTGCCCAATACTTTATCCTGAGGGGATGCCCCTGGGAATCAGGACTTGCTGTGGCAGATTCTGCCTAGCTCAGGGCCCCTGCCTCCAGCATAGCTCGCAGCTTCTGACATATTATCAGCCTCAGATCGGCAAAAAGGCAGCTTAAGTCTGTAACACTTTGGCATCTAACTTCTCATCTAAAAGCATGGTGATACTGGCCTCCCTCACAGTACAAAATCTGAACCCAAACTCAGAGTTTTTGAAGTTGCTGAGGTCTACAGGCCTGGAGGGCTTGCCTCCTCATGCTCAGCATGGAGTTACACTGGTGTGTAGAAGGAAGTTGGCTAACTTCCCCGTCTCTGTGCCTATTTATGCTTCCCGCCTTCCTTTTTTTTAATTATATAGAAACTGGTTTATGAAAGTTGGCATTTCTGTGCCTGTCCCTTTCGTGTGTTATCCCTGGGCCAGATTGCTTTCAGTCTGGGTGCTTTTTCCAGCCATTGGGCCTGGTACTTCTCTGGACCACCCTAGCAGCCTTCAACTGTGGGTGTCCTTCCCCTCTGGTTTGGCTTCTTAATTCTCTATCTGCTGCCAAATACCCCTTCAGCAGCCAAAACAGCCCCTGTTCTTGTTGTGCTCATTACCTAGAGCAACACTGAAGACAAAGTGTGAGGCTTTCCAGGTCTCTGCTTCCTGTAAGTGCTCTGAATGTAGAATTCTGTAGGAGACTTGAGGGTGGAGAAGCATACATATTTGATAACTGTTTTGAAGGCAGTGTATTTCTTAGTTTCGTCTAAACCCTAAAAGGAGTCTAGGATAAGATTTTTAAATAAGCTGCTCACCTTGCAAATGTCTGTTAGTACATTGTCCTAGTCCATTAAAGGCATTTAACATCTTGTACTTCAGCAATTCTTACACTTTCTATGAGTGTAATATTTGATGTAAGCTGGATAGTGTTTGTGAAATTGCTGGTTTTTGAACTTAGTTTTCTAACAAAATTGTCAATGACAGCATGTATCCCCAGCCTAGCATGTAGTATGCTACATACAAAATCATACCTAGGTTTTGCATGAAATTGTTCAGACAGAAAGTTAATCTAAATGTGTGAATTTTCTGTTTCACAAAAGGGAGAGTGTTACCCTCATTTTTATGTAACTAAAGGTCAGTTCCCTCCTTGCTTGCCTAAAGGGGACCTGCCCCAGCTACAGTCCACACTCTGGTGGCCCTAGAGATGGAGTAAGGGTTGTTTTAGAGCTTCCTCGGCCAGCTTTTCAACATTTAGAAAAATTGGCCCTCCAAAATAGAATTTGGGTGTGTTAGGGATGGAGACAAAGCCAGTGTGGTGGAAATACATGCTGTTGGAATGATCTTGTTATTCTGTCCAGAGGACCCAGTATCCAGGCTGTATTCCACCTACATGTGCAGACATGAAAGGGGCTCTGAGCCCAGTCTTGGTGTCTACTGTGTTTTCATTAGCTCTACACCCAGACAATTTGACAGTGTGAACATACCAGCTAACTATATGAAGTAAATTTTATTTTAACTTCCTTGAACATGGACAGAATTTTAACCCAATACAAATCAATACAAATTGCCTTTTAAGTTGCCATTTCTTTGCTTCAGTTTCATTTCCAGTCCCATGATTAACCCTAAAAGTCCAATTCTCTTGTTGAGGATTCATTCCAGAAGGCTCTTTGCACTTGTAGTGCCAAGTGGTCTGACTGAACACTGACAAATGCTTCTTCCACAATATGTATACAGAGGTACAGTGTATACGGATGGCTGACTGCACAGTCTTTGGGGAGTTGTGTTTTAAAACCTGTGTGAAGTGTTTTACAGACTGTTGTGCCTTGGGAAGATTTCTCTGTATCCTGGTGAGGCAGGGCCTGGAATTTCCTCGTGGACTTGTTCAATTTCATTTTGTATATTTCCTTTTCTTACTGTTGGGAAGGAAAGGCAGTCAGGTGTCGATTAATCTGTAGTCAGTCACGACCCCTTCAGTGGTTCGAAGGGGTTGGAAAACACAGATATTTACATTATGATTCGTAACAGTAGCAAAATTACAGTTAAGTAGCAACAAAACAATTTTGTTGTGGGGTCACCACAACATGAGGAACTGTAATTTACTAAAGGGTTGCAGCATTAGAAAGGTTGAGAACCAATGCTCTTAATTTTACAACAAACCTTAAGTTCTTGTTGCGTTCCATGTGTGCAAAGGTTGATTTGCTGTAACTGCTGTCTTTTCTCTTCCTCATAGACCTTGTGGGTGGTAAAGATCTCAGGAGGGGGATTAAAAATGAATGAGGAGAGCTAGAGTGGTTTGTCTAAGGTGGGATTGAGAGGGACTAGATGGGGGAGGTTTAACAAAAGACATTGATGTTTTAAATGCACAGAAATGCCACCCATCAATAATAAATGGGGTGGCATCGAACAGATGTGCCAAATTGAGATATTCCTGCGTGTCGATCAGTTACTGGAGGAAAAGCAAGCAGCATAACTAGTGTTTTACAGTTTTTAAGTGCAGAGTGAAAAACCTGTATACAAATTTGAATACCCATTTTAGATCCTTGATGGCTGCTAAGTGGAAATTTTTTAAGTTTTAAATTTGCAAAAGTTCCGGTGAAATCTTGTATGTTTTTGAAGTAAGAATTATTACTGATGAATGAGTTTGCTTTTCTGGAAACGTAGATGTGAAATGGATTTCATGCAGTTCTCGGCTGAGTGCTTGCTTGTTGAGAGCTTGTGTTGTAATTGTCCCAGGGAATGGCATTGCATTACAAAACTCAAGTCATGTGAAACTGTTACCCAGAGTTCTTTCTACATTGCAGTGATTACAAATCTGATACCTGCCCTCAGACTTTGGGACTGTCTCATCCCATCAGCATGTTGATTCAATAGATAGTTCTACACACATTCCCAAGTGAGAAATACAACTTTATCAAAGAGAAAGGCAACGTCAAGCAATATGCGCAAACAAATCCGAGAGGAAGAGAATATTTAATAGGCACAGATCCTAGAGAATGCTAGTTTTCCATGTGTTTTGCATAGCAGAAGATAAGTGTGTGTGAGGTGTTTAATGTGAGTCCTGAGGTGCAGAATTCGAATTGCTATGCCTAATGGGGGAAAAAAAAAAAAAAGACTCGGGTAAACGTGAAACTATTCTACTTATGTTAATATTGACCCCTCATGTGTGTCTCTTTTGGTAACTTGTTTGCATCTCTGCTTTCTTGCCCCAACAAAAGTGAAATTTCTCACTCTTCCTAATGTGAGCAAATGTTCACAGTTCTTGCATGCAATACCAAGTTGCTTTAAAAGTTTGTTAGACCAGAAACACACATTACTGAGTTGTCAAATCTTTTTTTGAATGCTTCAGTTGATAATAGGGATCGAGACTGCATAAAAAGGTATTACTGACTCTTTAGCCATTTGTATTGTTAACCTTCGGTGTTTTCTAACCTTCCTCCAGTGTTTTCAGGTGCAGAATTTATTTGAATTAATCTTTTCACCTCCTGGCAATCCCAGCATGTCTTAAAAGGGGACTTGTCAAACTGACTTTAGAGCCACCAAATAAATCTATTTTATAGTCTCCTTAGATACCCACCCCAGAACCCCTCACAGTGGAAGGCTCCGTGGTTGGAATCAGCAGTTCTCCTGAAGTCATCTCTCTGGTCACCTTCTCTGGGTTATTAAGAAGGTGTTGAAATGTGAGAAGGGCTAGTAGTGAAATCAAATTGTGGCTCTGGGTAATTAGGAGAGAAAGCCCAGGGTTTTCACAGCACATTGTCTGGCTTTCAGCTGCAGCTGCAAACAACGGATATGAACTTAACCAGTTGCTGCAGTGCAGCTGGCTCAGATCTGGCTTTGTAACTGGCTGAAGTAAAATGAAATGGCTGGAAAATTCCAGTCAAGTTAACACCAGTGGGAACGTGTGGAATTAAATAGTGTGAGCAAAGGCTGGCTGGGTTGGGGGGAAACTTCAGACACAAGCTTGAGGGTGGTAGTGAGGACTTGGTGGGCATTTCTAGCCTTTTTAACAAGGGTTCATTGTTTGGACAAGTTCTTTCAGGAGCTTGGAGGTTCTTGCCATCTGAGTGACTTAGAGAGTGTGTGGCTTGTCTGTCTGCCTTCTTGACTCAAATCACCCAATCCTTTATTCTGGTTTACTTTAAAAAATGAAACAAAACAAAAAAAAAAAACTGTTACTACATAACTGATAGATAATAAGCCAAATCTCAGGTGCTCCCAAAATGGTAATAGGAAGTGCTCCTACTTTGGGTGGCACACAGAGAACTCCTGCCCCTTCCTAGTTACCCTCGCTCATCACATGTTCACTGTGGCAAGGAAATGGTCTCAGAGAAGGAAGGTCGTGTATTATATCAATGGAGAGGTTTTTTTCTCCCTGAACTGTTTGCTTCATTTTGGAAGATTGAGAGTTGACTGGGGAAAGATGTGAGAAGTTGAAGGCCCCTGGTGCTGTTTGGGGAAAACATCTTCTATCACTAGGCTTGGGGTATGTTATCTCTGCCAGCGCTTGAGAGCTATGCTTGCCAAATAATTCCCTGTCACAGGGATTAACCAGTGATGCAAAGCATTTGATTAAGAGACTTGAAATCTCTCGAGAGGCACATGACTGGTAGTTGTTGCAGATGCCCCCCAAAAGCCTGTTTCCTCTCAGTATTTATATTACGTTTATAGTGATGAGTCATGGGAAATGGAGATAGTCCAATGAAGGATGTCTTTAGAGGCAAAACTCTGCTAGATATATCATTAAGTCCCTCAGAGCTTCTATATACCTTAAAAAGGAACTCCTACCCCCTACCCCAGCTATGCCATGCCTGGGCAATTTCTAATAGACTGTTTCCCAACAGTGGCGCTATGTCAAGAAAGCTAAGCAACAGCTTTTGCACGCATTTGGAGCCTCTGCTCCATCATAGTGGTAGGGAAAGTTGCCTACTACTGCAGTGTGACTGCTCAGCTCCCCTCCAGTTGTAGTAACCTGTGCATCTTCCATCCCACAGATCACTATTATCTTCAAAGCACACCATGAGTGTACAGATCAGAAAGTATACCAAGCTGTGACAGATGACCTGCCAGCTGCCTTTGTGGACGGCACCACCAGTGGGGGGGATGGTGATATTAAGAGCCTTCACATCGTGGAGAGGGAGAGTGGCCGCTACGTAGAGATGCATGCCCGCTACATAGGCACCACCGTGTTTGTGCGACAGCTGGGTCGCTACCTAACCCTCGCCATTCGAATGCCTGAAGACTTGGCCATGTCCTATGAGGAAAGCCAGGACCTGCAGCTGTGTGTGAATGGCTGCCCTTTGAGTGAATGCATCGATGATGGACAAGGCCAGGTGTCTGCTATCCTGGGGCACAGCCTGCCACACACTGCCTCGGTGCAGGCCTGGCCTGGCTACACACTGGAGACTGCCAGCACCCAATGCCATGAGAAGATGCCAGTGAAGGACATCTATTTCCAGTCTTGTGTCTTTGACCTGCTCACCACCGGTGATGCCAACTTTACCGCTGCAGCCCACAGTGCCTTGGAGGATGTGGAAGCACTGCACCCCAGGAAGGAGCGTTGGCATATCTTTCCCAGCAGCGGCCGTGCAGGACGCAGCGATTTGTCTGTTGGTCTTGGACTCACATGCTTGATCCTTACTGTGTTTTTGTAGGGTTTTTGTTGTTGTTGTGTTTTTTTTTGTTTTTTTTTTTTTTTGTCTATAACAAAATTTTAAATATATATTGTCATAATATATTGAGTGAAAGAGTATATATGTATATACCATGTATATAACAGATGTTTGTCCTGGAACACCAGATTGTACATTATGTGTTTGACTGTTCTCACATATGTTGGTTATAGTGTTTTTTTTGATTGTACCAATTTTGTTTTTGTGGTTTTGTGAAATGTTTTATAATGTCCCTTCCTAGGGACCTCTTAGAAAGCACTTTATTTTTTATATATTAAATATTTATGTGTGTACCTGGCTAATATGTACAGTGCATATTCACAGACACCACAGCCATCCATTTGAAGGTGACAGTTTGTAGCTACCCTGGGTGTTCTTCCTGCACTTCCCATTGCTACTGATTTGCCAAGGTACACAGTCTGTAATGGAGCTGTCTCCCTTCCTTTGAAGTGTCAATCTGAGAGGAAAGTTGTCCCCTCCCTTGTAAGTACTTTGATTCTACTTAAGAGCTCTGTTTCTAACAACTTACTTTTCAGAACATGGGGCAGAAGTGCTACAACTGCAGTTCTTGTTACTCAGTGACATTTGAGCACATGTGACCTGTGAGGTTGACCCTTCTGAAGCTGCCATGTGTTAAGAGTCTGGTGATGGTCATTTCAAGTTGATAACCAGGCATCTCCCTACACCTGAGCTAGTCCCCCTATCCCTTTTTAAGTTGTAGTTTCCCCCTCCTTTAACTCTTGAAGCAAAACAAAGTCATCAGCTTAGTACAGTTCATGCCTTGCTATCCCTCTTTGCAATTTGCAGAGATCACATTTGTAACTTTCTCCTCCTTGGCTGCTTGGAGTCCTAATGGTGCTCTCTGGTTCCACCCCAGCGTCTCCTTAACTTCACCTCAGGATTCCAAACTCTGGCTGTTAGTCTTCCTGTGATATTGAGGTCCAGGTATAGGGCCTTCAGAACAGAAAATCTTCCTTGGTGTGTATTAGTATACACTTGCCTGTGGATGCTGTCGTCCTGACATTCGTAACGAGGCATTGCGCTGTCCAAGTGGTATCTGTCTTCTCAGCTCTCTGCCATCTTAACACCTACAGTTGAATGTTAGGCAGTTGCTCCTGTCACTTAGTGAAATCCCCATAAGGTAAAGTCTCTCCTTGCCTCTCCCATCCCATTGTTGGTACCAACTATAAAAGAATTAACAAAAGGCTGTGAGAGTAGCAGAGTCAACTCCTGAATAGATAGGTTTGTATTGTTATATCTAAATGTGAGTGTTTGGTTCCAAGAAGTAATATAATTTGTGTTTCAATATTTAACGTTTACAGTAATGCAAGCAAAAGATACGAACTTAAAATACTGTAGTTATTCTTTGCCATGTCCTGTTGGCCATTGGCACTAACAGAGTCAGGCTAGCAGCAGAAAAGGGTATCATTTTGTGAAGTGGTATCATCACAGGGTGAGATTGTGTGTTCTTTCTAGAGGTGGCAAACCCTTAGCTTGGGGAAAATTATGAAGGCACCCTAAATGAATTCCAGAGAGCTGGAATCTAACCCTGTAAAAGAGGGGTCCCTTTAGGAAAGCTGGACTAGGAAGGACTGACCAACCCTGAGCTCTGAAACATGGCCACTTTTGTTCATCTGTGGAGCCGTATGCCAAGTTCAGAAGCTTGTCACTAGCTAGTAACTTATGATTGAGTAGAACAAGGAAGGGAAGATGATGTCAGATACTTTTAACCACTATTTTTGTGCAAATAGTATAAAAGGTAAAGTAAAAATCGATAGAAGTTTCTACAGTGTCTGGCATTAGTGTGATTGATACACCTTTATCCTTTTGGGGAGAGAACAAAACCACCACCTCTACTGGCAGACTGGATAAGAAAGTTTGTTTAGCTGTAACGTTTAGCAGAAAAGGGTGCCCATGATATGTACTACACATCGGTAGTACCAGTAATACAGTGTGGCAGGTGGTTCTCCCTCATAATCAGTGTCTCTGTACGACCTTTACAGTCCCCAAGGATAATTTTTAGAAATAAAGTATTTCTGTAGAGAAGGGCCAGGTTTTCTTTGGGGTTTCTACGAACATACTGCTTGCACTTGTTTAGCCAGAATTTCAGACCATGCCAGCGTATGAGTAGGCTTTGGCTCTTCACAGGTCTCCTGGGAGAGCTTAAAACTTGGGCCAAAACACTGATTTCCACAGATCTACATGTGATTCTTTTAGAGAAGACTCAAAAACACTTTTTGCCCTCTTCACTGTGCTTGGAAACCCCCACATTGTGCCGAGTCTTTACAGAGAAACCTGTAGATGTGGTTTGTAGGTATATGAGTAAGTATCTGTGTAAAAACAGTGGGTATGCAGTATGTAAATACGTTTAAGTTATTATGCTAGAAAAATAAAGTTACAGACCACGCTGTTGAATGTTTGTTCCTTGATTTTAGTGACACCTGCTGGAAGAGCTGAGAACCCCTCTGCAGAAGGGAAGGAGTAAGGGTGTTAATAAGATCCTAATAGGTTTTCACAAGATGGACTCCCTGCCCCCTAGCTCATTTGACTGCTACTGTAGTTTTTCCTTTATAACCTTTACGCAAGTACAAATAAAGTAGTGTCTGTGAGACTGGCTGCTGGTCCTAAAGTCCTATCATTAATGAGGAGCACACTGCACTCTGGGGCTTGTGAAGACGTACTGGAACGCAGCAGCGTACCGTGATGGAGAGTTCTGGGGGGTAGTGTTGTTTGTTTCTTTGAAAGCTTGCAAACCCCTCACATCCTGGGTGCTTTAAAGAGGATGTCATGTGGTTATAAGTTATTTGTGTTAAAGAAATGGAGGGTGGAAGAGTTTGGAGAAGAAACAAAGGCTCCAGGAAGCCCCCGCTCTCTCCAGGTGGCTTCCTAAATGGAGAGAGCATGGGTGGAGGGCTCCCGTAATTATTGAGTAGAGAGCTTCCTGTGTGTGGAGCACGTGAACAGGAACTCTTATGTCAACTGGATCGGGTGAACTACAGAAACCAGGGATGAAATTCCTGGGTGCTGAGTAGATGCCGTCTGTATAACAAATGCTTTCACAAAAGTTCACATCTGACCACCACCCGGCTTTCCAAAGACCAAAACTAGAGATTCTTTTTTCTTGAGACAGGGTTTCTCTGTCTACTGGCTGTCCTGGAACTCACTTTGTAGACCAGGCTGGCCTCGAACTCACTGAAATCCACCTGCCTCTGCCTCCCAAGTGCAGGGATTAAAGGCGTGTGCCACCGCCACCACCTGTCAAGAAATTCTTGAAAACCCAGAGAGATTTCCATTTCAAAATCCAAGAATCCTGTCAGTTGCCTGATTTATTTCACTTTGAAAAAAAATATATGTATTGATGCTATTGTATTGCCTAGAGCAGGCAAGGGTAAGACAATCTCGGATGCCTACAGACGTACCATGTGTTCCTGTAAACAAATGTCTTGTTTCTGTGAGAATTGAGCAACACCTCACCACACCCAAGAAGGTATACAAAATGGAGAAGTTCAAAATATTATTTCTACTTCTATTTTCTGTATGTCTTCTAAAGGGAAATTAATTCAATAGTGTTTTTTTTTTTAATTCACTGTTCTTCCCTTCCCCCTGCCCCACCCAGAGAATGTCTAACAAGATGTTTCAGACTGTCAACTAAATAATACAATGTCCCCCCACCTTTGAATGTGCTGTCACCATGTTTGTGTCTCCTCTTTTGTGAATGGCTTGCAGATTGACAGAGACTGGCAACTAAGGCCACCCAGCCAGATCTCACTCTTTTCATTAGAATGTCAAATTAACTGAGCAAACTGATTCTGTTAACCAGAACATACTAAGATAGGTCTATCAAACTGCCATCAGATGAAAACAAAATAGGCCAATATTTCCTAATTGAAGGGTCTTTTCTTTATGGTTGTGAACCTAGCCCTTTAATGGCTGAGCCATCTCTCCAACCCCTAACAGTTTGTTTTGTTGTTGTTGTTGTTGTTGTTTTGTTTTTTGTTTTTAATGGGAGATACATCTATGGTTCAAAAATGAAAACTCCACTTTAAAAAAAAGCATTCTGTAACCAGGTCAAATAGTTAAAACTAAACCACAAATGAATTGGCAAGTAAAAAAATGCACCTGCCATAAATAAACAATCTTTACAACTAGGGCTATTTCAAGGTCTGAAAAGATAGTCAAATGTGTGCCACTCGATCCTGAGGTTCAGATCCAGGTGCAGTGGCATATGCCAATGAGTCCAGTTCTGGGGAAGTAAGGCCAGGAGGGTCTCTGAACTGGCCAGCCAGCCTGGATGAATTGGTGAGCTTTATGTTTAATGAAAGATGCTGTCTCAAAAATTAAGATAATAAGCCATAGAGGGTAACCATTCACATTCTCTTGCTCTCTCTGCCTCTTGCTTATGGGTCAGAAGTAAGGTCTCAACTCAGCTACTGCTCCAGCACTATGTCTTTGCCTGTCTGTTGCCGTACCCCCTGCTATGATGGTCATGGACATAACCCTCTGGAACTGTAAGCAAGCCCCCAATAAACTCTTCTATAAGTTGTCTTTGGCATAGCGTCTCTTCACAGCAGTAGAAAAGTAACTGAGACAGAAGTCTAAGGACATTTCCATTAATGATATAGCACTACCAAGAGAAATGGTGCTGTTAAAGTACCATTGGTCACTGGACTGGCTGGCTTTGTGTGTCAACTTGACTCAAGCTAGTCATCAGAGAAGAAGGAGCCTTAGTTGATGAAATGCTTCCATGGGGTACAGCTGTAAGTCATTTTCTCAATTAGGGCTCAATGGGAGAGGGCCCAGCCCATTGTGGGTGGTGCCACCCCTGGGATGGTGATTCCTGGTTCTTTAAGAAGGCAGGCTGCCCACCCCACATCTGACAGAGGGCTCATCTCCAAAATATACAATGAACTCAAGAAGCTAATCACCAAAACACCAAACAACCCAATTAAAAAATGGGGTACAAATCTCAATAGTGAAATCTCAAATGGCAGAAAGGCACTTAAGGAATTGCTCAACATCCTTAGCCATCAGGAAAATGCAAATCAAAACAACTCTGAGATACCATCTTACACCTGTCAGAATCGCTAGAACCAAAAACACCAACAACAGTTTATGCTGGGGAGAATGTGGAGAAAGGGGAACACTTCTCCACTGCTGGTGGGAGTGCCAACTTGTGCAGCCACTTTGGAAATCAGTATGGCAGTTTCTCAGGAAAATGGGAATCAGTCTACCACAAGATCCAGAATTCCGTTCTTAGGCATATACCCAAGGGATGCACATTCATATCACAAGGACATCTGTTCAACTATGTTCATAGCAGCATTATTTGTAACAGCCAGAACCTAGAAGCAACCTAGATGCCCTCCACCGAAGAATGGATAAAAAAAATGTGGTACATTTACACAATGGAGTACTACTCAGAAAAAACAATGGGATCGTGAAATTCACAGGCAAATGGATGGAACTAGAAGAAACCATCCTGAGTGAGGTAACCCAGACACAGAAAGAAAAACATGGTGTGTAGTCACTCATAAGTGGATATTAGACATAGAGCAAAGGATAACCAGCCTATAATCCACAACCCCAGAGAAGCTGGGAAACAAGTAGGACCCTACGAGAGACATGCATGGACCTCCGAGAAGGGGAAAGGGACAAGATCTCCTGAGTA